ACAAAGGTTAAACTAGTCATGGATAAAGTACGTCACACACACTTGTAATGATGCCACCCAAACTGACAGAGTTGGTTCATGAAGAAGAGTCTTTATCTTATTTACCATAGTTAGGTGTAATTAAAAATGCTGGGATAGAGTGGACAAAGCCACTCAGTTTTTGGATGAATCATGAACAGTAACCATTCCCAATTTTCCCTTCTGCATCCTCTTTTACAGAGGGAAAACTCAGAGTGAACTGGAAAGGAATTTAAAGATGATCTAAAAGAATTAAAGATAATCTAAAAAGGAACCAACCAGGAGAGGTCAACTGATTTGCCCCACACCTCCATTCAGTACAGGGGGAAAATACATAAGATTACAAATGTAAAAGTTTTGCAAACTCGAAGTATCTCAGATGTCTGTGCAAGTAATCTCACCAGAGGCAGGATGCCTAGGTGTCCTGATTCTTAACCCTGCCTATATGCTACCCAGCCTCTTTGTGTGACAGATAAGCAAAAGTGTGGTCCCAAGTGCTTAAACAGTGTGGACAAGTTCAGAAACTATATTGGAACCCAAGTCCCTTTAAAAACTCCCTTTCCAAGTGCAGCTCTAAAGCAATGACCTGGCTACCTTGGGTCCCAGATATTAAGATGTTTAGGACCCACGGAAAATGGTAATAACCACATTCTCTGGTGGTTCCACAGAACACATTCCCAGCCAGTCAATATTATACTCTGTACTTATTCAGTTTACTCGAACAACTAAAGATGTCCCAGTAAAAAATCCAAATTAATATTTTAGCTGTCATGTATATAGGTAAAAGGAACACAAATGTTGTAACAGGCAATGGCAATATGCTGATTGTAAAAAATTTGGGGGTTTCTGGGGAGGAGCCAAGATGGCAGAACAGCATGGAAGTTTTTGTGTGTCTCACATCATGAAATACAGCCAGACCAACACTAAACCATCCTACACACCTAGAAAACTGGTTGGAGGATTAACACGACAATCTGCACAACCTGAACCACAGAATTCAGCAGGTACCATGGTGTGGAGAGGTGAACTTGGGGAGAGAGAAGCCAGCGGCAGGCAGGGAGCCGCTTTTGCAGGTGGAGAGAGGACGGAGACTGGGGTTGGGGGGAGGGAAGACTACGGGAAAAGCACCCCTCCCCAAAAGCAGCTGGAGAGAAAGTGGAAAATTGGAAATAGCCACAGGGACTAAACTAAAAAGGGAAAAAGGAGAAAGGAGAAAGGAGAGGGTTTAAATTCCGTTAAGACTATAAACAAGGGGAGCGCAAAGTCTGCAACTCCTCAGCTCGATACCTGGCAGTGCTCTGGTGGGAAGGGCGAATCCCCAGGAACAGAATGGGGTCTGGGAGGCTCTCGGGACACACAGGGCAAAGCGGTTCCACTGCTGGAAGGACATTTGGTAGAGACTGTTGAAGGCACCTGGTCCCAGCAGACCCTGGAAAGCAGCCACAGTCGCTGGTGCTGGGGCAAGGTTGTTAAGGGTAAAGCCTGGTGCCAGAGGTGTGTGGTGTGATTTTCCTGAAACGCTGCTGCTACACTGTCTCGCGAACTTTTTCTGGGGCGGGCTGGCACCTGGCCACAGTCTCGGGGCACCGGCAGCAGCAGGGTCCAGTGGGCATTCCTGGGTGCAGCCAATATTCGGTCATTGCTCAGTGAGACCCTCCCGT